CAGGGCTTTCCTGCTTTCGTACTGAATGTCGAATTCGGAGAGTTCCAAGGACCATTTTAGCATTCTGCCCGCCATATCGGGTCGACCCAGGAGTTGTCTCACTGGTTGATCGGTTCGCACGATGATGGTGTGGCTCAGAAAGTAGTGTCTGAGCCTCCTCGCCGCGTTGACGAGGGCCAGAGCAACCTTTTCTATCTGCTGGTATCTGCTTTCGGGCCCTTGTAAGGCTTTGCTCGTGAAATAGACAGGTTTCTGCCCGTCGGGGGTCTCGCGGACAAGGGCTGCGCTGATGGCTTCGTTTGAAACGGCCAAGTATAAGTACAGCGGTTCGCCGTCGTCTGGTCGAGATAGCACGGGCGGCTGAGACAGGCTTTTCTTTAGATGGCGAAGTGCCTGCTCGCACTCCTCATTCCATTCGAAGGCTGCTTCCTTTCGAAGGAGTTTGAAGAAGGGAAGGGCGTGCTGAGCAGATTTCGCGACGAAGCGGGACAGCGACGTGAGCATGCCGTTCATGATTTGTATCGACTTCTTCGACTTCGGTGTTGGGAGGTCGGAGAATGCCCGACATTTGTCGGGGTTGGCCTCGATTCCCCGTTCTGTTAGATAGAATCCAAGGAACTTTCCTGCCTTAACCCCGAACGTGCATTTCTCGGGGTTGAATCTCATTTTGCACTATCTTGCTTGGGCGAAGACTGTCTTGAGATGAGCTGTGTGATCGGTGTCTGCTCGGGATTTGACGATCATGTCGTCCATATATACCTTGAGCATGTCGCCGATCTGTTTGTTGAAAACTCTGTTCATCATGCGTTGGTAAGTTGCCCCGGCGTTTTTCAGTCCGAAGGGCATTACGTTGTAGTAATAGTTGCCCGAGCTGGTCATGAATGCCGTGCACTATTTGTCGCCCAGAGCCATTGGGATTTGGTTATATCCCGAGTAGGCGTCCATGAACGACAAAGTTTTGTAGCCGGCCGAATTGTCGACCAGCATGTCTATGTCAGGTTAGGGAAAAGCATCTTTCGGGCAAGCCCGGTTGAGATCGGTATAGTCAACACACATTCTCCATTTTCCATTATTCTTTTTCACAAGTACAACATTTGACAGCCAAGTGGAATACCGGGCTTCAGAAATAAAATTTGCCTCTAGGAGGTCTTTTACAGCTTTTTCAGCAGCCTCCGTTTTTTCTAGAGACTGCCTACGCCTACGTTGTACTACGGCCTTGGCGGCTGGATCAATGGCGAGGTGGTGACAGGCGACCTCATGGTCGAGTCCGGGCATCTCCGCAGCGCTCCAGGCGAAGAGATCAGCATTCTCGCGCAGGCAGGCCTTGATTTGCTTCCTGGCCAAGTCGGGGAGGTCTTTACCAATCTTCACTCCCTTGGTCGGGTCTGTGCCGAGGGGAACGAGTTCAAAATCCCCGTCCGGAATTGGTCGGAGTGGGATTTGCTCGCTGCTGGATGGCTCGTCCTGATCGAAGCGAGCGTCGAGGGCTATGGAGTCGACCTTTGGTGGAGCCTTCTGGACTTCTTCCTCGGGGGATGCTTTCCTATCGGGCTCCTGTTTCGTCCTTTTGGCGGGTCTGGTCCCTATGTCGACGATATCCCGTCCCTTAGAGGCAGCGTTGAAGCATCTACGGGCAGCGGCTAGGTCTCCTTGGATGGTGGCTACCCGTGCCCTTCTGGTGTAGAACTTCATCTTCAGATGGACGGTCGAGGGCACCGCTGTCAGCTCTGCCAGTGTCGGTCTCCCCAAGATGCAATTGTATAGAGACGGGCAGTCAATGACGAGGAAGCGGACCTTAACCTGTCTCGTAGCCGTTCCTTCGCCGAACGTAACCAGGAGCTCGACATAACCCCAAGGTTTGGAAGTCGAGCCGTTGAAGCCTTGTAGATCCGACCCCACATACGGAGAGAGATGTGAGTCGTCCAGTTGTAAGGTCCGGAACAGCTGGCTGTACATCACGTCGACGGAACTCCCTTCGTCGACCAGGATGCGATGCACGTCAAAATTGGCCATTCTTGCCCTTATCAGTAAGGGGATGACCGCGTTCGGGGCTCCCCCGGGGAGTTCTTCTAGGTAGAAGGTGATGGGCTCTGACCTGCCCTTCACCCTTTCGAACGTCACAGTTTGCGGGGGAGCCATGTCGACCAGCTCGTCCAACTTCCTCTTAGCTGAATTGATGGTGAGGTCGTTGAACCCGCCCCCGTTGATGACCATGGCGAAGGGAAAGTATTCCCACCTGCTGTGCGTTGTCAGCGGCTCCTGCAGGTGCTCCGGAATGTCAAAATCCTCGGGCCTGGTTACCGAGAAGGCGGTCTGGATAGGCACCGACTCATATGATGGTCGGGCGTCTTCTTCGGGCTCCTTGGTTTCATGGGCGTCACGACGAGGAGCGTCGTTTCGCCTGTACTGCGCGAGCCTCCCTCCCTTGATGAGGGTTTCAATGGCGTCCTTGAGGTGGACGCAATCCTCTGTCAAATGGCCATGACTCCTATGGTATTGACAGTATTTATTTTTATCTGCCCCTGGCTTGGCGGGAGCAGGCCGGGGACGCTTGACGCCGCCGTCCTTGAAATCTGTACTGGCACACTCCGCCAAAATACGCTCGCGGGAAGCTGTGAGCGGAGTGTACTCGGTGAAACGGCCCGAGGGGCCCCTTTGTTCCCGGACATCCCGGGGTCGATCTTCTTTCCTTTTCTCCCCGGTACGTCGGGGAGGAACCTCTTGTCGTGAGCTACTGCTGTTGTTGGGGCCCCGAGCCCTGGAGTCTCGGGCCCTGTTGGCAGCTTCCCTCTCCTCGTAGTCCATATATGCTCGGGCCTTATCGAGGAGGGCATCAAAAGTCGGAGGTGGTTCAATACCCACAGCCTTTCTGAATTCTGTGCCGGGGAGGAGACCCCTCTCCAGCAAGTATCTTTTCATATGGTCCGCGCAGGGGACCTGTATTACTTCTCGGTTGAAGCGGTTGATGAACTCCCTCAAGGTTTCATCCTGTCTTTGGATGATGGCCTCGAGGGCTGCCTCGGTCTTCGGATGGCGCCGAGAAGCTGTGAAGGAACTGATGAACTGGTTCTTCAGGTTCCGCCACGACGTGATTGAGCCCGGGGCGAGTCCTTTATACCAGTCCATGGCCGCCTTCCTGAGAGTCGTGGGGAAAAGACGACACTTGATGGGCCCCCCGACATTATGATAGTGGAGCATGGCTTCGAACCCGTCAATGTGGTCGACCGGGTCCGTAACTCCGTCATACTCCTTCAGATGCGGGGGCTTCTCCATGCCCGGGGGGATGGGTGCATCCATGATGGCCTGCGACAGGGGACCGCGGGGGTCGTCCTCGTCGCTCCTCTCCGGAGAAAGAGATGGGGACCTGTAGTATTGTCTGGCACGGTGGTCGTGCTGAGTTTCCCTCGAGCGTGATGCTCGGTGGTTGAATGTCACACGCCCGTCCCCGGCGTGCCTCTTGTCGTGCCTTGTCGGGTTGCAACGGGGTTCTCCGGCAGGGATGGCGAGCTGTCTCTCCAAGTCGGGGCGCCTTTGCTTTGGCCGGGGAGAGGGGCTTCTGGAGTTCTCCCTGTAGCGTCTCCGCGGGGGAGAAGGGTGTCGAACTTCTGTGACCCGAGGAGGTGGAGAATGTGGCCTCCGATGCCTCCTCGGGGGTCGTTGATCATCTTCAAGTGCCCTTAGTCTTTCTCCTTGGGCGAAGATGAGATAGTTTGTCTGATTAATGGCCGCGAACAGTGCCTGAGTCGTGGCATCTGCCCCGGCGGGAACTGGGACTTCGTGGAACCGGGCAGCTCTGTAATGAGCGAGAGCTACCGGGTCGTCTTCAAGTGGTGGTGGGATCGGGGAGGATGATGCAGTAGCCCCGTCCCTGTAGGAGGAAGTTCCAGGGGCGGTCGTCACAGGAATGGTACTGTGGCCGGGATCACCGGGGTTATCGAGGTTTCCATTCTTGTCCGCGGTACCGTTATTAGTGTCGGCGACACGGACGTGCTGCTCGTCGCGAGCTGGATCAGCCATGACAGGTTGGTAGTTGAGTTTTGAGCTTTGGTCTTTTAAGTTGTTCGTAAGACGGGGAAGCTAGTTTCCCACAGACGGCGCCACTGATCTGACCTGATCAGAAATGGACCGTCACAGCTGGCTCCGAGCAGAAAGCTTTTTGAACGAAGTGGGGGGGGGGGGGGGGTACCTGCAAGGCACTCCGATGCTGAAGTAAGTAGGAGTACGAGCAGATAATAGCAAGTGTATGGTTAGAATGATGAATACCTGACCCTCTGGAAACAAAGGGTATTTATAGCCCCCAGCGCTGGGCCAAGGTTCCTTCATTGGGCCGGACAGGTTTGGCCCAATGGAGGAACTGCCAGGTTCTACGTGCGTAGTGGGGATCCGCACGTGGTCCCCTTCTTGGATGTTCTGCGTGAAGTGCGGGCGGACGAAGACACGGTCTTTTCGGGGCCTCGTTGGGAGTGCAGTGGACTGAGTCTGCCCTAGTTGGGGTGCTCGAGGTGATGTTGAGCTGGACAGCAGGATGTCGAGCTGGAGGTGTAGAGGTCGAGCACGTGACCTCAGGGAGCACGTCGGGCACGAGTGTGACCCTATGGTCGGCGTGGTCCTCAGCAAGTCTATTTGGACTGGACCTTAGCAATGCTTTCGGGCCTGTCGGGCCCAATCCAGAACAAAAATATATAAATATCTTTTATATTTAATATATACTCATTTATATTTATTTAACAAATTAATATCATTAATTAAAAGATTACCGTTACAATTAAAAAAATAGTTGGTGAAATAATAACAAAAATAACAAAACATAATAAACAAAACAAGTACACGACTTTACAAAAACAATGACATACAGCATAGGATTCGGCAGCTGAATGTACTCACTTCACTTCTTACTTACTTGTTCCACTTCCTTTCTTACTTCATTTTCCACCGCTCCATAATCTATCTATCTCTCTCTCTCTCTCTCTCTCTCTCTCTCTCTCTCTCTCTCTCTCAAAATGGCCGAAAATAACAACTCAAACCCTACTCCACCACCACCGTCACCACCACCTCCCACACCGCCGCATCAAGAAACCGATTCATCCACCCTAACTCCCCACCCAGAACCACAACCAGAACCGGAAGTCCCGGTTATCGACCAAAAAGAACTACCGGATCCACCACCGCAAGCAACCGAATCAGAAACCGATACAAAAGGTAACCAGTCACAAGATGTAGTAGCATCCGAACCCTCACCAGAACCATCACGAGAACCGGAACAACCGCAACAACCGAAGAAAATTCCAATAAATTTAGTTTCATTCAAAGAAGAAAGCAACAAACTAAGCGATCTCTCCGATTCCGAACGAACCTCCCTCGACCAACTCAAACACCTCCTAACGGAATCTCTCAAAGACGACCAAGTTTCAATCTACGGCGTCCCTCTCCTCGTCGACGAACGCACCGACGTAATCCTCCTCAAATTCCTCCGAGCACGCGACTTCAAGCCAAAAGACTCCCACACAATGATCACCAACACCATCCAATGGCGAAAAGACTTCAACATAGACGCACTCCTAGAGGAAGATCTAGGCGATGAGCTGGACAAAGTTGTTTTTATGCATGGCTTTTCGAGAGAGCAACATCCTGTTTGCTATAATGTGTATGGTGAGTTTCAGAATAAAGAGCTTTATGATAACACTTTTGGGAATGAGGAAAGGAGGAACAGGTTTTTAAGATGGAGGATTCAGTTTTTGGAGAATAGTATTAGGAAACTTGATTTTCATCCTGGTGGGGTTAATACTGTTTTTCAAGTTAATGATCTTAAAAACTCCCCCGGCCCCGCTAAAAGGGAACTTAGACTTGCTACTAAACAGGCGCTGCAGTTGCTTCAGGATAATTATCCTGAGTTTGTTGCTAAACAGGTTCATTTACATTCCCAATTTTATTCTTTTCTTATCTATGTATGTTGTATGTTATTATTTTGCCGTCAATTATCGTTTTTGTTGTCCGAATTCTAGGCCGTTGATTTTGAGGTGTTTCGTTCTTCTAAAGTAAATTTGATTATGCCTTTAGAATTGATTCTGCTTGAAATTACAAGTTTAGCTTTTGACAAGTTGTAGCTTTTGAGTCCAAATCTGTTATATAAATCACTTTATCTTCAACTGACTTTTAGCTAAAATCGTTTTTTTTTTCACAGCAAAACCAAACACATCCTTGAGTCATATGACAAATTCATGAATGTTAAGATGACAGATTGTTTAGGACATGTTGAGTTGCATCGTGTTTTCGGAAACTTTGTTGATGTCCATATCGAAGTTGATTGATAGAGGCACTAAATTGATTGTCGATATTGAATTCTAGGGATTAATTTGTCATTTTTTAAATTTGGAGTAGGAGGTACAAACTACTTGATTGATCTTTACCCTTTTGAGGATAAAATAGTTGTGATTCACTTGTTTATCTATTTGTTTATATGGAAATGTGAAGTTAATAGTAAGTGATGATGAAATGATGACTGATAATGGTGTGTTTCTTTGTTATTCAATTTCAATTTATAGGTTTTTATCAATGTGCCATGGTGGTATCTTGCATTCTATACCATGATCAATCCGTTCTTGACTCAAAGGACAAAGAGTAAATTTGTGTTTGCAGGCCCATCGAAGTCTCCCGACACACTTTTCAAGTTAGTGAAGTGAAAAACGAGCATTGTTAATCACCCTTAAAATTTGAAATCTTTTTCAGATTTAGCTCTTTGGTTTGTTTGTTAAGTTGTGATTTGTGAACTCACTTTCTATATTTGTATGTGAAATTGAATAGGTATATTTCTCCCGAGCAAGTGCCAGTTCAGTATGGTGGCTTGAGTGTTGATTTTTGTGATTGCAACCCGGATTTCAGCATCAATGATCCCACCACGGAAATTCCGGTAAAGCCGACTACTAAACAAACCGTGGAAATTGCTATATATGAGGTGCGATTGCATACTTCTTTCTCTCTTGTTCTATGAATATCTCAAAGACAATGTGTTATTATGAATATCTTAGTGAATTGTCGTGTGATCTGCAGAAATGCATTATTGTCTGGGAGTTGCGCGTGGTGGGCTGGGAAGTTAGTTATAGTGCTGAATTCAAACCTGATGCTGAGGATAGATATGCAGTTATTATACAGAAGGCTACAAAGATGGCCCCTAGCGATGAACCAGTAGTTTCCAACAGCTTTAAAGTCGGTGAACTAGGAAAACTGTTCCTCACTGTTGACAATCCTACCTTGAAAAAGAAGAGGCTTCTTTACAGGTTCAAGATCAAACCCTACTCTGATTGAGAGAAAATCATCTCTAGTCCTTCGAGTTTCTCGAGTCTCGAATGATTTTCGATATATGGAGGAAATAGAGCTTGATGAGTAAGAAGTATGTGTGTCATAATTTGTTTCGCCCATTATTCATCTATAGTTTTGGTCTTGAGTTGTTTGCATATGGCTTTCTTTGTTTTTTTTTGTGTACTTAATACTTTATTTATCGCCAGAAAACATTATATAGCTAGTCTAAATTTGTTGATTTTAATTTATTTTATTTTCTGGTGTTGAACAATGTCAAGGGGGAGAGTAGTAGCACATGGAATTGGAAATGATGTTGGTTTGAGATTATGTGTACTAGCAGATTATCTTTTATGATAGAAATAGCTTAAGCATAAGCACTTATGTGTTAGAAACACTTAATTAAGTAGTTTATTCAAACATCACATTCTTGTGCTTGTCCAATGAGAAACTCTTCTTATGTTGCATGACATACCGATCCCAATTTCAACATAAAGTTGAGTGAGGGTTTTGGTATGCAGTCAACATCTTATTCAAAAGTTTGTCTAGTTTGGTGTTTGGTTCAACTATAAGCAAAACTTTCGCCATTTCTTCAATTTATTATTGTAACTTTTTCTTTGATATTCATTTCATTTTCTAAACTTGTGATTGGTAGTACTATAGTCTCAATTGAACATTGCACATGCTGTGTTGTCTTTCTTGGTTGTACATTTGGTTCTTCTACATTGTTTTCTATGTTATTATTTAGATTTACATGCGGGGTCGGGACTCTAGCTGGTTGAGAATATAGCTCTATTCCTCATAATGTGACCATTTTCTTGCTAGCTAGACAATCTAAATTAGGCAATATGGACCAGCATTTGAAAATCATTCTTGACTCCAACAACAACAACCAAGGCTGCCTTTGAAAAGTAGATGGTTAAGGTATATAGGTTAGGGTTTATTTCGTCCTCTCGGTTGAGACTGAGACTTTTGAAACTCGGCTCAATCTTTTTTTTGTGTGGATAAGTTAAAACAATATAGAAGAATACATTTAAGAATGTAGATTAAGAGAGTGTTGAGAATGATATTGTTGTTTGTTGTTTAGTTCGAAATCAATCATAGGAAAATAAATTAAAACAATATAGGAGAATAAATTTGAGAATGTAGATCAAGCGGGTGTTGAGTATGATTTTGTAGATCATAGAAAAACTATGTACATTTTATATAGTATTACTAAGAAAGTCCTATGATATTTTTATAAATTTTTTTCTTAGTAGTAGTATTAAATTAGTAAAAAATAATGTTATTTTTATAAATTTGTTTTGGAAGAGAACATCATTTTGTATTTTTATGATTATATTTATTGTTGATTGTAAAAAAATGATGGAAATTAAATAGAGGGAAGTTGGTAAAGAAGTAATTAATACATTTGGAAATTTAATGAGTAATAAATGGGACAAAAATAAATTTTCAGATATTTTATATTTAGGGGCAGAAAGTATTTAAAAGAGTTGTTTCAAAATTATTTTCACTTATAGTTTTTAATTTTTAATACAATTTTAAATGTTCTTTAATTGTACACTCATTATGGCATAACTTTTAAAGTTATTATTTTATATTTTGTATTTATATATTATAAAATTACTTCAGTTGATATGAATAATAGAGTAGAAATATATATATATATATATATATATATATATATATATATATATATATATATATATATATATATACTCCCTCTATGCTTATTTATAAGTAAATTTTAATTTTTTTACATTCATTGAATAAATGATGTATCTAGTCTTTATATTATCCAAATAAAATATTTTTTCAATGAATCTAAAAAGTCAAAATTTGCTTAAAAATAGGAATGGAGGGAGTATATCTTTGTGAACTTGTCAAATTCTACACTATTATACTCCAAATGATGTAGTAACAAAGCACTGACATGGTTGGATTCGACCAAAACTTAAATATTGGATTTTGTTCTAGAGGATATTTGGAAAAACATGTTTAGAGCTAATGAAACTTATATCATGATGTAAACAAGTGATTGAAATAATGTGTTCATAAGTTATTTTTATATTCTTTTGAATTTTTTTTATTTTTAGATTTGACTAGACTTTAATTTTTTAAATATTATTTTTTTAAATTTTATGTTAGTCTTTTATTTAATAAATATTATTATTAGTTGATGCTGTTTCCGATTTTGAAAAAATGCCATAAAGAAAAATTATCGGGATGAGTCGCGTATTAGGTCGCTTTCTTTAAGACGTTTTGTCATACTGTCAATAGTTATGCAAAGCAGTCGAGTTTCGACAACGTCTCCATGATAAAACAACCCATTCAGAAATACGATTGTTTTTGAAAGACATTTTTGGAAACCAAGTCTTAATCTATTTTTTGATTTCCACCTCTCTAAAAATAATCCAGTTATTTAATTAATTTCTTATTTTTAATTTCTATCGAATTAATTAAATAATGATAATTAATTTCTATTAATTCGGGTTTCAAAAATTAATTCATCTAGACTGAACCGAACCGAACCAAATTAATTTTCACTAATTTGAGTTTCAAAAATTAATTCATCTAGACCGAGTCGGCCGAACTACGGCACACGCGCGTGTGTCTAGATGGCTTATGGGTGTGTCCTCGCTCCTTTATAAAATTGAAGTGTTCCTTGGGATCCACCTCAATTGGTCAAGTTGGAATATATATACTACTAATATTTGTATTTTCTCCTATGTGAGACTAAAATGAATCTTTTCAAATTCACTTTCATACTAGTTCTTACTTATATTCATTTATTGTCCATTTAATATCAATAAACCATTCCAATACACACTCCATGTTAACATCATACCAAGATTTTCAACGGTTGATCTTGGCTGATTTGGCATTATAGTTAGACATTTTTACTCCTACATGACTTATTGTGACTTAACATGGGGTTATATATCATCTTTCTTTCATGAAATTAATTCGAGAGTATCATTCAAACATTGTCCTTGTTCATCTTTTATCCCAAATGTTTCTATGTGTTTTACCAAATTATTTCACGATTTTGTTATAGTCCATTTTTATCCCAATTCGTTGAGTTCAAATCCCTTTTCATCTCACATTTTCATACAGTGCCATGTTAATCTTCATTCCAATTTGCGTGCTTTTTATGTTCTTCTTAATCTTCAAAATCCCAGGTCATTGTGTTCATCTTTAAGTCCAACATGTTTAGCTCCTCCCAGAATTTGAGATCTCACCATGGTCAGCAGCAAAACAATCAATCATTTAATTATATTGGATTTGTTTTAAAAAGACACAAGAGAATGGAATGTTATTGTCAAGAAGATACTTTTCTTCAATGTATAACAAACATTACAAGTTTGAATTTTGGAAAAAATTTAGTTTGTAGAAACTACAAAAACCACAACGATAAAAACCTTTAAGTGGTTTGATGATGACATTGTTTTTGAAAGAGATTTGAAGTTTGAAAGAAAAAAGAAGATAAATTTAAAATTGAAGAATGTGTTGACTTATACAATAAGATAGCTAAATACGACAATGATGTTTTGGATTGCCTCTCTAGGGATGAATGTTCTCGAACAATGGCAAAGTTTATTGAGGTTCAATATATTTGAAATAGTTAATTAAAAAAATATTGTACTATTTGATTATCGTATTTTATGTCGTCATTTGAAATTGATGTTGTAGTTCTTTGTTGAATTTGATGTTTGAAATAAATGTAATATTGTGTCCAATTATGTCATCATAATCTTGTATGTCTTTTTTAAACTCGATTCTCATTTATTTAAAAGTCAAAATTCTTTTTGGGCTTTTGTCCACTATTGATACATATCAGGTTTTTTTTTTCCTAGATGACTTTTCAGCCAAGTTGTGGGCTTCTCTATTCTGAAATCCGGGCATGTGTTGGATGACTCAACTATCAATATCCATTAGGGTTTCCAATATTTTGTATATCAGAATACCTAAATGTGTTATGTCATTTTCGTCTCTCTCCTTGAGCGGCGTTTTATTCTCCCCATCTCCTATTCTTCGTTTTTCCCAACCACCTCAAATTCAACTTATGCTGAGCATTTGCCTTGCATGTCATTACTATTTTGTATCTGTAATTATGATTTTCTATCTTCTCCACTATCCCTTTGCAATCAGTTATGATTGTGACTTTGTTCTTTCATAATCACAACAACGTTTATTGCATTAAGAAGAGCTTGTCATCTAGCTTCCATTGGAGAATTGTACCCCATTTAATTCCAAGTTGTAGTTTCTTGAGTTTAGTTGTTACTGTTGTGGAACCACGTTCCCGTGTTCCATTCTTTCAAAATTCCCAAATTAGCATCGTTGTTGATGATTGTGCGCATGTTTCTCTAGGTAATCTCCTCCATGTTATTTCTTTTGCTTTTCGTGTTTGTATTGTTGATTGTTCCATCTTCATTTATGTTTTCTCTAGGATAGTTTCTCTCTCTATAATCCTGGTTCATCTGACTTTCAACTTTCATGGTGAGTTTTGCAATTAAATCGAGCTCGCCAAAGTTCTTGTCGGTCATGGAATTTTTCTTTTCTTTTATATTTCATATATTTTTGGCAAAATGCTGATGTTGATAATGATTGTTCTTCATTCGTCCTCTTTCACGCTTGGTCTCATTAGGGTTATTATTTTTCTGAGATATTTGATTTTTCCTTTCAAGTCCTACAAAAATTGATTGTTACTAACCTTAAGGTTAAAAGCTTTTCCTTTCTCCATTTCAATTTTTTAATCTTTCGTCTGGTTCATGGTGTTTTTCTTCTTCATATTGTTTTTATTTTCCTACATAACTTGACCTTCCTGATTTGAATTGTATCCGTATGAGCTCTCTCCTTGATACTAGTTATGATTCTTCCTTTTGTACTTCATCATCTCGGCCTCCATCAACATTTAAAGAGTATTCGTCTGTTGCTTCTTGTTTTTGTTTTGTCTCAGGTAAAATTTTCCATCATTACTAGTCATTTGTTGTTTTCCTTTATTCTAT